TGATGAACATACTGTGCAAACTTTGGCTGCTGTCGCATCATCCTGGTGGATGCTGCACATTGGTGGTGGTGGAGGGGAGTCCTCATTACCTGTAAGGCGCTTTGAGTGGAGTGTCCCAAAAAAACATTTGTATAACTAAAAAAATTCTTATAATTAATTTAATTGTTCAAAATCACCTTAACATCACACACCAAGTGGCCTCTGTAATAGTTATGCCCATGATTTCAAAATAAATACATCTACTGTATCTCTGTAGAGTTGATCAGTGAGTTAGTGATTTTCAAGAACAGATTCAACTATGAAGATCAAGGAACTTTCAAAAGAACTCAGGGATAATGTTATATCAAGGCAGAGACCAGGAAAAGGGTATAAAATATTTCAAGGACCTTTAATATAACTTTGAGTATAGTGAAAGTGTCACTATCTACTTAATCATTGAGGAAGGCACCTAGTCACTGCCACGATTAAGCTGTCCCTCCAGATTAAGATGCTGGGCAGTAGGAAACTAGTTAGGAATGAGGCCAATGGTGATGTCACAATTGTAATCCCTCCTCTTAAGGGCACTCCGGCTCTTTCACATTTTAGGTGATCATGTGCACCTGCCTCCAATCCTGCTCCTCCTTTTTTAAGGTGGGCGCTCTTGTTACTCCTGGATCTGCATTGGAAGGCAGATGCCCAGAGGCCTGCCTACCATCAAGTTTCCCTACATCCACGGCTTGAGGGCATAGGCCTCCTATTGGTGTCCTGACCCTGCTGAGTCCGGGGCTCAGAGCACCTGACCTCGGGATCCTGTTTTTATTCCCTGTCCCTGTACCAGGTCCCGTTCAAGTTTTTAACTGTGTCTTGTTTGCATTATGGATGGATCTAACAGATTTGGACCCTGGACTTTGCCCCGGATGTCCCCCTGGACTCCCTTGGACTTGTTTCCATGGCCTTGCCCCCCGAGCACCAGTTCACTGTTGTCACACCCCCTGTCAGGCAACCTGCCCTGATCCTTTTTTCCTCCTCCCCGTTGTCCTACTCTACTCACTTCTGTATTATACCATCTGCATAGGGTCCTGACCAACACATCATGTTGGTGGTGGTGGAGGGGAGTCCCCATTTCCTGTAAAGCGCTTTGAGTGGAGTGTCCAGAAAAGCGCTATATAAGTGTAAGCAATTATTATTATTATCATAACAGGTGACTTGGAAAGAGCTATAGAGTTCAATGTCTGAGATGGGAGAAAATGTTCATGGGTAACAAATCCCTGGTCAGAGAGTTTTTATGTATGAAACTGAAAATTAAAATATCTAAAATCCCACATTGAATTTGCAACAAAGTACTTACTGTAAGAGATACTTCAAGCATGTGGCAAAGGTTTGTGTGGACAGACAAGATAGTTACTTCTGAGACAAACTCAATATAATGCACAATTCAGTCAACACCATCCCTAATGTCAAGCATGCTGGTGTCAGAATTATGTTTTCATCAGCAGGAACTGGGAAGCTTGTCAGTACTGATGGGAACACAAATGGATAAAAATGTTGGCAAATCCTAAAAGGAAAGAGGAAATCCTGCTATATATATATAGTCAATATTGTTTCATCCTATTGTGCGTGCCATAATAGGATCTTTAAAATAGGTGTGTCCAGGTTAAAAAACACACAACTGTGAGATCTGAAAAACACACTAGTGCCTTTATTTACAGTTCAGTGCAATCTCTATGCTTAACCTTGGTAATTAAAGCAGTGTGTCATCGCTTCTTGTGGAAGCTTCTTTCAAGGATTTTTTCAAATCTTTGCTTATGCCATAGCTTAGACATGTGCATTACTACATTCAATGAACTATATAGGGAGTAAGCCTCCTCATTCAGAGGAATAATTAGGATTCATTTATTTTTCATTATGCAAGATTACTGTACTTTCATTAGGAATGTAAGAGGTAAAGAATGTAATATCTCACCCGAGCAATGTTTCTTTTCGTATGCTGTAATTATTAATTCATTTTTTTTATTTTTTAATGTTATTTACCGGAAATAAATGTACCCACTCACTCTGGTACTTTGTAGATTTTAAAGTACAAATTAATCTAATGAACATTATGGTTTTTTAAATAACAATATTTGAAACAGGTAAAAAGTGGTTATTAAACGAAAAAGTGTAAGTTGTGAAGTGAAATGTCCCGATGCTAATGACGTTTAAAATTATATTAATCACCAGCTTAAGTGTTGGGCTGTAGGTCTAAAAAGGCTCCTAATGCATTCATTAAGACTTTCAAATACCAATACTGACAAAGGTGATTGTCCTTGGTAAACTGTGTAGGTGGATTTTTTACATCATCTCTTTTGTGAGATCCCCTTCCTAAAAGCATGTAATTTGATTTGTATATAGCGTATGCTCTTACAAAAACCATTTATCATCAGACAAAAGCCAATGTCCATGCTTTTAATCCTATAAGCATTGCAGTATTATTGACTCATTGTATTCCTTCTTAAATTGATTAATACATATAATGGACACTTTATTAGCAAGCGATATTTATTGTTGAGCGCCATGTGATTAAGAAACAGATGCTGGACTGATATTTGCTGTTATAAATGAACAATTCAAGCCTGTTTTGCAAAAATGTTCTACTTCAGTTTAAGAACATTACATTGAACTCCTTGTCACAGTATCTGGATACCAAAGGGGTAAGAACAGTAATATGAAAAGGTATATCTAGGCATTTTAGTTCCAAATATTCAAGCTGTTTTTCTGTTTTACCACAGTCACTAAAGCATACCTGCATATGATCAAAGATGATAGAAATATGATCATATAATTTCATTTATAAATGTGAAATAATGCTCAGTAAGTCTAAGACAATATTGTGTTCCACTAGAATCCCTGAATTAAATAATTACAGTAAATGAAATTTAAATTCTGTAAACAGTTCATGTATTGTATTTCTATTTGTCCATTGCATGAATTATTTGTTTGGTAGGCAATATTATTTTTGCTTTAGTGTCATTTTTTACATCTAATTTGAATAAAAAAGTACTTTTTTGTGTATATCTTCATGAACCTGTGCAGTGCCAAGCTGACATGGTGGTTAACAGTGCTGCTTCATAGCTCCAAGGTCCTAGGTTTGATTCTGGCATCTGTGTGTTTGAAAAGATGAAATTCTATTTTAGTGGAAAGTTGTTTATTGACACCCTTTCTTTATTTCATGATACTAGTTAAGGGTATTGTACCCCTTTTTCATGTGATTTAAACATACCAAAAATCAAAGTATACAAAAATCTCTTATAGTTTGTGCGTTGTTTTATCAGGTTTACTGCCTATGTAAAATGTAATATTGGTAGTATTTCTTTTTCTTTGCAGAGTTGAGTTTCAATTCTTTCAGATCTTCAAAGGAGCATTTGAAGATGTTAATAGTATCTCTCTATTGCATCTTACAAAGCAATTCACATTCATGCAGGTTCTGGTCTCACTGAAAATCATATTATGTGCCACATCAGGTTTCTTCTACTATGTTGAAATACCTGAAGGTATTTGGTAAGCCCAAAAGAATGCGAACAGAATTCAAATGAAAAGAATGACTTAAAGCATTGCCAACATGATCCTTCCTTTCATCTACTGATATGAAATGTTCAAAACCATCTCTGAATGTAGGTATATAATGGGCATTCCTTTTCTCTCTGCAGAAGGCATGCACAACATGCATCACTTGGCATAATGCATTTTTTTACAGGTTAATTCCAAGCTGAACAGTAGATAAAGAGAAGAACATAGCTGAAGCAAAACCACACGCTTTTTACTTTCAGCAAGGAATTGACCTTTGCTTGTTACTTTGAAAACTGAATGTTGATACAGCCTCCATTCTAGCCTCTTCATAATGAGTTAAAATTATTTATTTTTTCTAAGTATCAGCAAGAGCAAAACAATATAGTAGTAATGCTTTTAAAAGCTCTCACAATTCAGTATAGAGATGGTGCATAGCGTGCCCCTAGAGATTCCTAGGATCTGACTCTCTCTCTAAGCATTTAGCACTGGTAAATGCATATAGCTGTTGCTTTTCATAGAGAACAGAAGAAATTGAGACGAGGCAAGCTGTAAGTTGTAAATCATAGTCAAAATATTGAATAGCACATGTGAATATTTATATTATTATTAACAATAAAAACATTACTTCACATTTGAATTTCTGCTTCAGTTTTTACTATGTTTTAGAAGGAAAACATTATACCAAATAAATCCGAAGACAGGTGTTTGTGCATTTAGCATTTTATGACACATTTAAACTTGGTCAAAATGGATTAATTTAACCCATTTCCTATTATTCACATCTTCCAGATACTGTATTGTATGTGTGTTTCTGACAGTTATCCACTTGGTGTCACTAAAGATATCTCTTATATGAGCATAAAGTTGAAATTGCTCATGGCTGTTACAGTCATCATTTTCAATGATTAAATATAAATCCCACATCTTTCTGACCAAGATTTACTTCTGTATACTGTTTTCAAAGTATCTGTCTAAAGTAAATTGTATTGTAAAGATTGTTCAAGAATAAATATTTATTATTTTCTTAGTAGAAGTAATGGTAATGTCAAATATAATAATAATAACTGCTTACACTTATTGTGTATACTTACATATAGCACTTTTCTGGACACTCCACTCAAAGCGCTTTACAGGTAATGGGGACCCTCCACCACCACCAATGTGCAGCATCCACCTGGATGATGCGACAGCAACCATAGTGTGCCAGAACGCTCACCACACATCAGCTATCAGTGGGGAGGAGAACAGAGTAATGAAGCCAACTCATAGATGGGGATTATTAGGAGGCCATGATTGGTAAAGGCCATGGGGAATTTTGGCCAGGACACCAGGGTTACACCCCCTACTCTCTTTGAGAAACGCCTTGGGATTTTTGATGACCACAGAGAGTCAGGACCTCAGTTTTACGTCTCATCCAAAGGACGGCGCCTGTTTACAGTATAGTGTACAGTATCTCTTCCAGCAGCAACCTTAGTTTTTCCCAGGAGGTCTCCCATCCAGGTACTGACCAGGCTCACACCTGCTTAGCTTTAGTGGGTTGCCAGTTGTGAGTTGCAGAGTGAATTAATGAATTAATGGATTAAATATAAGATCATATAAGTTATTAAGTTATACTGTATTTACTTTTGTCTCTATTTGAAATAAAAAACAATGTAGACACATTTTGTAGACAAGTTTTGAAAAATTACTTTTTGCATGTACCCAACATAAAAAGTTAATTAAAGGTAATATACATATATGTGACCTAAAAGAACAATAATGTCATCATTGTTGAAGCACAATGATGGTTAGTGCTTCAACACTGGTGAACATTGGTGCTTCACCTTGTAGCACGGAAGTGACCCAAAACATACAGCTCACTTGAAATTGTTAAGTTGAACACAAAGAACCATGAATGTGATGTTTACCAAAGAATATTAGTCATATCACAGAATAAAAACCTTGTAGTGAATCACAAATAGGTCACAAATAGGTCTAAAGAACAAAATACTATATGTTGAGTGGGACACAGACATGACATAAAATTTTCATGCAGTAGACTGTAGATTGCATTTATTTCAATGGCAACATTTCCACAATATACAATATACTTAAATATATTTTGCAAGGCTGAAATGAGAAAAAAAAATGAAAGGTAAATTGTAAAGCGTAAAGACCAATACTCATATAACAAATATATGTTGATAGCTAAATATACTGTAAAAAGAGGGTTACTACTCCTCTGTTGCCTATAGTAACCACAGCATACCACTTGAGAACTGTTTACCACTTTCTGTATTTGACCCAGTAACATTGTGTACTTTTCTATCCCTAAAAATTGTACATATTAACAGAATTTGTTGGTAATCATCTAAGATAAAAAGACTTAAATGTATTTTTTGCAAACTGAAGACACATTTTGTTTAATGTCATCAATTAAGGACAGATTTAAAAACAAACCACTGAGCGTGTGTTTTTGTGCTTTATTTTACTTAATGTACTTTTATAAAGCAATATCAACCACAGCTTAGGCTGAGCATGCACAAAAGTGTCCTCGCTTTGATGCTGGCAATAAATCATTCTTTAGAAAGTTTGCGTTTGCTCTATTAAGAGGCACAGAAAAAGCAATTGAAAGTCAAATTGTTCACACAAACACTCCAAATTGTTTACACAGAAAGGTTAGGTAGTGAGTATCTATTTAAAATAGGAGGGAATATCAAAAAAATATATATTCATATATCTTTTTCTCCCTCATAGATCAAGATCCCTCATAATCCTGCAAGAACATTATCTGGATGCAGAGTGTGTCTGCCTGAAGCAGTGGTAGAAGCTGCAGAAAGTAAGTAGGTAAGTTAGGTGATAGTGGCAAAACTGACATTAAAGTTAAAGTGTAATATAAATTATTTAAAAAACACTTTGAAATCCACATATAGTAACTAAAATGTAGTGAAACTGCAGTGTATTGTAGTAAGGATATGTAGTTGTAATGGTTAAGGAAAACTCCTGTAGTTTCATAAAGAACACTATTTACAGTACTGTGTGTTGTCTGACAGCTTATCAGATGATTTTCAATATAAGTAATCCATTTATCGAAGATTGTATAGTCGAAACATGCAATGATTTACTTCATTGGAGTTACTACTATTAATAATATGTCAGCATGCTTAATTCTTGATCCCATCACTTATGCTACTACATGATTCCTGTATCCTTTTATTCTTCTTTTATTATAAAGGGTATTGCTTTTATGATGTCAATATGCCATGTGGATTTCAAAAATGAAAAAGCTATGCTCCAATAAGCAAACACAATATCGCCTATAGGTTCGTTTCCAAACTTGGTTGATGTTGATGATTCCAGGCACTTTGAATTTGGTTGGAACCGATGGTTATATAAATATAGCACTGTGGAGCCAGAGGCTTTTGTATCAGACAGACTAATAATCTATTTAAACCAAAAACATTTTCAGTACAAAAGTCATTTTTCTTCTCACTGTATTCCAAAATAGAAGTCTAGCTTTTTGTGTCTTACAAAATATAATATTTAGTATAGTATAATACATCATCAGTTAGTATAATACATTGTTTGATAATTATAATGCAAAGTATTAGAAGTTCAACCAATATACTGTATGCGGTACATGCTTAATTGTTGTCCAGTCATCACTAGTTAAAGCCTGGGGTTTTAAAGTAGTATAAGGAAATGAGCCACAATATATTTGCATAATGCAGCTGTTGCACTTGCAATAAATAATGACTTTGTTGGATCCTGGGATTACCCGGGCAGAAGTGCTCAAGGAACCAAGGTTGGTTCAGCTTCATTTGTTCAGGATTTCCTTGCAGAAATGCAACTCCTAGTACCTGCCACATGCCTCCAAGCTTGCAGTGAGAGATGCACTGTTCTTGCAATTGGTGTTACTGTAGTTGTCAGTTACAATCAGGTCCTGTGGTGTTGACCAATTTTTTTTGCCCATAAAATATTAAGAGCTTTAAAGGTGTGAAAATATCTGATTACCATAAATGGCCTTTGCTATTCATTAGCTGAGATACAAAGCCTGATTGACAAGGTAGTACAGTGGTTAGCATTTGTGCCTGAATTTATTCCTGGTCCTTGGGTGCTATTAGCATGGAGTTTGTGTGTTCTCCCTGTATTCACAATTATTTGTTCAGTCACAATTATACATTTTTGCTGGCTGCTCTGGTTTCCTCCCACAGTCCAAATACACTCTGGTAGCCTAGTTGGCCCTGGTCTGAGTGTGGTTGTGTGCCCTGGGATGGACTGGCATTCCATCCAGGGTGTATTCTCCCCTGAGGCTGTTGCTTGCCAAGATAGGCTCTGACTCCCCTGTGACCCTGAACTGGATGAAGCAGTGAGAAAACGGATGGACGTAAATACAAAGCAGTGAACATGATATACAGTAATGAATCACAATGTACTGTATTTGCATAATGCAGGGTTTGGTTAAGTGTCTTAAAATTCAGTTGCCTTTGAAGTCACTTCGATACTTAATAACAATACTGTGAGAAAACCATTTAGAATCTGACAATTGAAAAAATAATCTTTATATTCCAGACCGTAAAACACCCTAATTTCAATAAATCATGATAAACAGTGTGGCTACATTAAAACTAATGATACAGCTACGTACGTATCTCAATATATAGAAGTTGATTGAATGAGTAAGCTAAATGAGTTGGTGGCATTCCAAGTAGGAGGATGATGTACATTTATAATTTTATGTACACACAACTTTTGTCTATTTTAGAGCCAAAACCATGAAAACAAGACTGGGCTGCCTATCCAATAAATCTGATTCTTACAGCGATTTTACTGCCTTTCTTTCCCCAAAGACCAAATGCATGAAGTAAGTATGCTGCTTACATATTCGTGTTAGAATGAGGCACTGAAAATATATTTTCAGTTTGTATTGATATTGTAAAGTGAGCGACTGAGGCTGACACTTTGAAGTACAAAGAAAGAACTTTTAATGCCTTTTTCATGTACAGAAAGGGCTGTTCCCAAACTAAACTTTAACTCAAAAATAAAAGAAAGGAGTGCAGGACAGACTTCTTACTCGCAGGTCAGCTCTGTTTCCTTCAGCGTCCCTTTGTTTCCTTGGCAACCACACGATTCCCCCTCCTCCGCCTGCCTCTACTGAAGATATAACATCCCCAGGATGTCTTCTCGCCTGACATTTGGCTACCACTATAATATATTGCATATGATTGAAAGATCGGGTTCTGGACATTTCTATCTTAGAATGGGAAAAGTAGGAAAAGTCAGCCATTCTTATGCAGCAGTCTGCCAAGTTACCAGACAAAGATAACTATTTAATCTGATTATCCTTAACTTATCCCTAAAGTCAATTAATGTTACTCCTCTTAAATGAACCTTATCTCAGTAACTGAACCTTATCTCAGTTAGACACTTCTCAGGCTCTACTGTACAATTTGCAGTCTTTAAGGGGTTTAGATCTCTAAAAAGACTCTGATTTCACTCTTGAGCCATGTGCAGGATAACTGTTTTACACTTGGTATTAAAGGTGATACTACTGTAGGTTCGGTTTTATCCTATTCTACAGTATACTGTATACTGCATAACTCACATACTGTAAAGACATTCTGTAATGTAATGAATACACTGTATTCTGCAAGGAAATGAAAAAAATAGCTCATGGATTAGACATAGCCATAGTTACTGTATATACTGTAAATATCTATAATAATAGGCGAAGCTCAATTTGTTAAATTAATCTACAGTGATTTTACCCAAATTTGCATAAGTCAAGAGAGTTCTAGGGAATCAAGTTATACTGTATAACCTACAGTGTACCTCTGTGATACTTCTTTCTTGTCTGTTTAGTTATTGCAATTGTTTAATTTCTCATTATAAGTACTGTGTAACATCTTTTCAGTTTTGCCTGTATTGTTTCTACTTGTCAGATTTTCAACAGAAGAAGTCATAAGATGGGCTGAATCATTCAATACACTTCTTTCCCATAAATGTACTGTAAGTGGGCTATTCGGTAAGAATGAAAAAGAAATATTTCTCAAAATAAATTTGAAATATATATGCACGTACATGTTTATAGCTGTTTTTGCTCCGTTCTTGTGATCATTGTTCAAATTATTTTTAACAAGCTATAGCTTTTTTTAAAGACTTATAAAGGTATATTACAGACACAAAATCAGTCAGACCCACTGCCGGTCATTTGTGATATGATTTAAATTTAAAACATATAAACACTATACTGTACAAAGTATTTTATACTGTGGAGAAAGATACTTTATTTCTTAATTTCAGTAGGACTTGAAAGTGCATATTCTTTTAAAAATCTCTGTAATGTTTTATTTAGTATTAAGAGTAATAAATAAAATAACTGTAGGCCACTTCTAATTGGTGGAAGAGTTGATTGTGGTTTCAATCTTAAGAAAACAAAATGGATGAAAAAAAAACAGTTGTCTTCTGGAAAAGAATATTGTGCCTGTGCAGAAAGCTTTGTTTTCTTCTTTGACCAAAAGAACACTAAATGTGTATACCATACACAGTACCACACATTAGAACACATGAATGGTATATATCAAATTTGTACTGTTCGTTCCCAAAGGAGAACAAACACAATGACTATACTTTCAGCTATCCCAATTTTTCTTGTATTGACCTGCAAAAAAGAACTCTATTATCTTACAGTAACTTTAAATTACATGAATTTGCTTTACTCTGTCGTCTCTGTAAAATAGCCTAGGCTCCTTTTCTAAGAGAATCATTAAATTCTTTGCAAATAACAAATTGTGACTATACAAAAGCATTGACTGAACTTGTCTTTTTCATATACTGTATTGTTAGTTAATGGTTGGTGAATTTATTTTAAATAGACAAACTTGCGTGACAGTTTTATGGGTACTACAGATGGATTTTGAATTTTAAAAAAAGGAATATTTTCACAGAAAACAACTGAATCTATTTTTGTGGTGCCCTCCTGTACATCACCATAAAAAATGAAATATATTATTTCAGGTTTAACAATAAAATTTTCTATATTTTACATAGACTTGCAGTAACAATGCAAATTGTGTTCCTTGTTATTGGTATTATAATTTATATTTTTTCGCTTATAAAAGATTTATTTTCAGAAAAAATATATTTTTCTCAATGGAACCATAGTTTTGAGTTGATTGATACTGTTGTCTTAATTAAAAATGCCACAGAAAAAGATTACTTGAAAATGTAGTCTTGCCAAATTAATAGAAGGGGTCAGAGACTTGTCCTTCCTCTGGAACATTTATTTTAAATGTGTTTTCCAGTCTCACAAAACATTCCGTCAAATTGTGTTCCTGAAAAACAGCAGCTGCATAACATAAGCAAAGACAAAATGACAGTCAAGAAGTCCTCTGAGGGATGAGAGGAAACAAGGGACAGTCCCATGATGTATTTCAGTCTGTTACCAAAAAAAGATCTGCAATTGGTCTGGAAATCTGAAAATTTCGAAATGTGGACCTTTTGATGTTATACTTGCACAAATCATAATCATTTGTTGTAATGCTAGGGTAAGATTTCATTCTTTAGGAGTTGGATAATTGTCCATGTTAAATTCAAGAAGGTTCAGAGTGTGTTGAGAATAAAGTGTTTTTTATAAATTGAACTTTAATCTTTTGTGCCCGTTTCTGAGCTATGTTTAAACTTAAAAGGTTTGACGGCAGTTACCTATTACAACACATTACTAATTACGTTTCTGTTAACTTTCTAGATGGCTTGGCTGCATTCAGAGCATTCCTCAAAATTGAGTTCAGTGAGGAAAATATTGAGTTCTGCATGGCCTGTGAGGACTACAAACAAACCAAGTCGGCCACAAAACTGATCAACAAAGCCCCAAAAATCTATGAGGAGTTTATAGATTTTCAAGCACCTAGAGAGGTAATTTTACCAGTCAACAGCATTTTAAAAACTAGAATCTCAATTTTGGGGATATATCTGTGCAATTTTGGCATCATCACTTGTGTTTTTTTACAAATCCCATGAATCAAACAGGAGGGAATAAGTATACTTCTGGGTATAATTAACACATTACAGGCAACACAGCCCTGTACTGGAGATTTGGTGCCAACAGCATTTCATACCTGCAAGCATTCAGGAGACTGCAGGGGTCACTCTCTGTAATACAGAACTAAAATAGCCCTGGTTGACTAATTCCAACACTATACTTAGCAGCACTCAGCCAATTGTGCGCTGCTGCATTGGGAATCTTGGTCACAGTCAACTCAGTGACATGACACGAGTTCAAACACAAGTTGCCTGGATCATAGAGCTCAGCCTGTACAGCCAGGCAAATGCTGGTTTAATGGTTGAGTCACTTGGGAGGCCCCCTAATTATCATTCTTTTTGATAAGAGTTTAATTAAACTTTAAAAAAATACAACCAGCTCTCAAATACTCATGGCCTTTGACTGTACCGGATGGAGGGACAATTGTGCAGTATGCAACTACAGTACAGATCTCCTGAGACAACATGTAATGTGCTTAGCCAGCCAGACACTGTTCACATTCTGTATTGGCCTTATTAGTCATATTTATGCACATGGAAGTCAATCATTCTTGACCACAGGTAACTAACAGACGTCATTTAGTTAAACATTAAACGTTTCAAAAAATAAAACATGAAAACTGAAATAGTTGAAAAGTGGTGGTTTTCTATTTTACATTTGAACTGGTTATCTTAATTGCTTTACTATATTTTAATGTGTTATTAATCTATATATTATATTGTTAAAATAAATATTAATATTTTAAGATATTTGTGAACAGGTCCTAAATATATGAGAATGTGAACTGTCAAAACTGTTAATCTTTTTTATATGGGATATTTGATACAGTATATTCTGTTTTCAGTGGAACACAGGCGTTAAACCAGAAAAGATTGAAATACTGTATGCTGAAATGTATGCTGAAAATCACATGTTTATCTGTGACTTTTATTCAGAAAACAACTGGGGTCAGGTAACAGTATGTTAAGAGGAAATGGACCATTTTGTACAATCTATTGAGGGGATTTCTCACCGTGTAAATTCTCGCTGATACTATCTAATACGATTTTGATGTTCTATATCTTAGTGCATCTTGACCCTATGATTGATACTTACATCAAATTTCTGGAGAGAACTAATCTCAGATATTTAAAAGTAGGCAGTCAATGATTAGCACAAGAGGCAGCAGTAGTTATGAATCCAACAGTAGTTACATGAGTCAATATCTTATGCAATCTTCTTGTGAAACTGGTGTACATAATTACTTTCAAATAAATACATTTGTAATTAAAATAAATTGTGAATTTCTTCATATGTTGAACAGTGATATGATGTTGAACATAATGATGTTTGCAGATGATGAAATTAGGTCATCACTTCTTCCACAGGTGAACATTGACTATCAAACTAGAGAGATAACTAGGAAAAACCTTCTGGAACCAACCTACTCATGTGATCAGTATGGCCCACGCAAGAGTATACAGCCTGATGGAAAAGGATTCCTATCCACGTTTTCTGAGATCAAACATCTACATATATTTACTGAACCAGATGCATTCTCAAAGAAGATGTAATTAGAAGGTAGTCCAATAAATACACAATATATTTTTCAGTATATAATGTTTGTCCTTGTGTAACCTAAAGATGAAAAATTGAATAAAAGCATTGTTGCTTTCCCATACTGGGTGTGTATAGTCTGGTAATCAAGCACAACCTACAGTATATGTTTTAGTTATTACAAATGTTTCTCAGTTGTATATTTGTGTGTTTCATAAAGAAATATTACAAATACTGTTCTTATTACATCTGTTAATTTATTTTCCAATACATTTCATTAGAATGAAGTATGTCTATATAGACATGTTAATAGAAAAGTTTAAAAAGTAAGAAAAAGTAGCAATATCATTTCTGGTACAGAATATTACACTATGACCTGTAATTGTGCACAGCCACCGTCACAAGGACAAGGCAAGATCTAAATGCAGGACCCAGGTTGAATCGAGAAACTTCTGAAATCTGAAGGGTGAGAAAAGCAGAGCCAGTTGATGCTGGCAGACAGACAGAAAATCCTGGCACAGAGAGGCAGACAGGAAAGCCTGGTTAGTTGAGACTTACTGGGAAAACCCAGCATGGTGAGGCTGACAGGAAAGCCTGGAGAGTTAAGCCTGACCGAGAAGCCTGGGGAATTTAGGCTGATAGGGAAAATTGGCGTAAAAGGGCTGACCGGGAAAGAAAGCTAAGGCTCATAGGAAAGCCTAGCACAGTGAGGCAGACAGGATAGACATGCTTCTGGAATCAATGTTGACTGTTGGTGAAAGTCAGGATGTCAAAGAAGACGGAGTTTCTAGGATTCATAATCTTGCAAAGCCAGGTTTCTTAAGCAGGCAGGAAATTGCACTCATTATAAGAGCATATTGTAACTCAATGTCAGAGAACTGATTCAGTGGAGATTTGGAACTTGTCTAAATGGAGGGTTGATTGGAAGATTAGGTCCCTGCATAAAAGGGAGACAGATGCACAGACAGGCAGCCCGTGTTACGATCCCTGCCTCCCGGCAACGGAAGAGGCAGAATTAGGCGTAGTCCTAATCCATCAGTTCACCTATCAGTTTTCCTATTCACCACCACACCCCCGTCTCATCCTACTTAAACACCTGTCTTTCCCTACCTCTTTGCTCAGTATTGGTTTTCCTTTCGAGCTTCCTGGTTGCGCTACTCCTACTTCTACCCTGTGTTTGTCTTGGCTTTCGGTTTACGTTTTTTTCCCTTTTGACTATGGCTTTTCGGATCACGTCTTGGCTTCGTTACTTACGCTCTGTTTTGGATCACTGGCTACCCCTGGACTATCAGATTGCTCTACTGTCTACGATTTCGGATTACGCTTCGGCTTCGGTAACTCGTTCCCTTTGAATCTCTGGCTTCCCCTGGACTCTCGGCTCACTCCTTCGACTACGGCTTTCTTTGGATCATGGCTAGGCTTTGTCAGCTCCCGCAAGTGGGTTCACTCACTGGTTTTGGTCCCTCTTACCGAATCCATAACAGCCCGACCTGGTCATTACAGGCTCTGGTGGAACGTGGGCTCTCATGGGAAGGCTGAGGTCACCCAGGACAACCACAGACACCCAGCCCAGGCATGACACAGAAACCTTAAGACTCATGTACAGTTTCATACGAGCCTTATATTGAGACTTAAAAGGAGTCAAAAAGCAAATAGTAATGCAATTTTACATCACCAAAACTGTTACTTTTTAACTTTTTAGATGAAGGTGACATTGGGAGAACAAGATGAAAAATACCAAAGTTCTTTGTGAGGAAAAACTGCTAATAGCTGATAATGTTTTATTTTTTTTATTTTTTACTTTTGTACAGTTTAATGATGCCACTGAAATTGAGATTGCTTTGTTATGAATAATCTAATCACAACTACAACCATGCCTCTAACAACACGTGCCAACCTTCATATCATACACGACTTACAAACACAATTAGCTTTGTTATCCCTTACTTTTTTTACTTAGGACTTTTGAATTTAATTTTAGAAAAACGTTGCTCATTCATAATCAAATTAATGTCATTCCTTAAGCCAAAAGATGCTTTGCAATGCTTTAGAGGAAATAAAAATATTTTCATGCATTACTTAATGAACTACGCAAAGTTTTAGTCAAGAAAGATCTAATCATGTTATTACAATCTAGAAGGAAAGAGAATAATGTCAATTAGTTAATGTAACTCTGGTAGTCAAGGGAAATTCCCAAGTTCACAGTTTGGGTAGACCATAAAATCTCCCATTTCCCAAACAGAACAAAAGATACTAGGTTACAGTGTGATAAAATAATTAATTATCTCAAAGATGAATTGCTCTTTTCACAGAAATTATTCATATTATAAATACATTTTCAATCAAGTAGTGATAAGGCTGTAACACTAGGCATTTGACTTGTCACTGTGTTTACAGAGACACACACAAGCGGTGTAATTCCTACAACATTATGTATCTATGCTTACACAGTCTGCTATTTTTGTACGTTTATGTAAAAATGAGTTCCAAAGTCCACCCGCCTGTTTGTGAAATGAGTAATGTAGGGTCAATATTAACCGATGAAGTGCTTCAGTTATGCTTCATTAGGATCCCAGTATCCTGCAGACTTACAAAACAGGACTGTAGCAATCTAGTCTTCAATCAGACTGAATGAGATAAACCACCAATAATTTCTCATCTGCTATTTTGGTTGATTAAGGCTGCAGCACAATGAGATCTCCAATTTTCTTGGTCTCCATTCCAATGATTCAAGGTCACATGTGGAATCTTGTGTGCAAAGGTTTATTCACAATAAAAGATGTCAAACACAGGCATCTTCTCCTGTATATCCAGCATTCTGAAGGTCCTTTTGATGATGTGCTAATGGTGACCTGAGCAGGATGGTAATGTCTGGATGCTCCTAGTTATGATCTGCTATGGAAGCAGCTATTATAAGATTGTCATTAAACAAATGAGAAACCAATGCATTTGAACAGCTCTAACTGACTGAGCATCCATTTTAGATTTGACTTTTTTCACCCATTTTGGGGAGTAAGGGAGAAAAGTAGCCATAAACATAGTCTGCCTCATCATTTCACTGGATACCTACCTCCAGAGACATCACCTTTCTGTGGTTGAAAAATAAAGAAAGAGAGTATTACAATTAAGAGTCTGGAACATCAGGACCGCTATGTACTGTCCATACAATGACCAAACAAAAACACACTGCATTTTTGCCCATGAATTCTGGAGAATTCCAGAGATATGACATCGTCTCCTCTTCACTGAGGTGAAACCCAACAAGCCAGAGAAGGGAAACTCAAGGAATATTGAATTGGCAATACTTTTCTTCTGGAAAGGAAAATCAGAGCAAAAGTCTTTGTCATCAAGAAAGAAATTAAGTACCTTAATGAATTCACTATAAGATTTAAAAAGTGTCCCATGATGATTCACCCCAAATTAATGGCGAATCAATGTGCCTCCATGATTTTTGCATATGTCCCTATTTTAGATTAAGATGATGAAACCACGGTAAAGTTCCATACCAAAGGTCAACCAAATTCTCAGGTTACTGATCAGTAGCACAGTATTTTCTGTGCATGGAACAGCAATCCAAATTCTACATAGAAGAAAGGTAGAGGTTCTGTTACATTCCACATCCCTCCTCTAGGGGGCGCTCCTATCCCTTTCTGTTAAGATTAGTTTTCCCCCGTGCACCAGATCACTATAGTCACCGCCCCCCTGTCTGTCAACTCGTCTTAACCCTTCTGTACCTTCCTCAGTTGTCCTTCTCCAGTCATTTATAGATTATACCGTCTGCATAAGGTCTTTAATAACACACTTCACTGGAGTCAAAACCGGCTTTGGTGACAAAATATTAAGCCTTCAGTAAGAAACTCGGAACCCCATCTACTCTCTCTGTCTCGTCCCCGGAGGTACCCTTTTGGGATTCCCAAAGAACTGTGCCTTTTTTCTATATGGTAGGTAACCTTCTGTTCATCGTTCTTTCTTTGACAGTTTTTTTGGGGAGGTTTTCCCTCCTCATTTTAGGACCTCAGGAGCTGCCCTCAAAAAGGGGGGGGGTACTGTTATGTTCCACATCCCTCCTCTAGAGGGCGCTCCTACCCCTTTCTGTTATGATTCGTTTTTATTATTTCCTGGTGCATCTCGTTTGAAATCTGGTTAAAAGCCGAGCGTCTCTGCAGTTCCTGGCTCAGTATTAGAAGATGGACGCCACAAGGCTTGCCTTTTCCCCGAGCTCGCGGGTAGCCCGTTATTCCCCGGCATCCTGACTGTCTGTGTGCGGGGCTCAGAGCGCCTGGTCCCGTTATGCTTTTAGTTCTGTTCCTGTTCCGGTTCCAACCTGCTTACAGTTTTTAACTGTTTTGTCTTGAATGGATCTCCCAGCCTTTGGACTATGGACTGCGCCCCAACTTCCCATTTTGGACTTACCTGGACTCGGTTGCTTCAGGATTTCCACCCATGCACCAGATCACTACAGTCACTGCCCCCAATCTGTCAACCTGTCCTAACCCTGCTCCACCTTCCTCAGTTGTCCTTCTCCAGTCATTTCTGGATTATACAGTACCATCTGCATAGGGTCTTTAATAATACACTTCACGGGAGCCAGAACCGGCTTGATAAACTGACATGATAAACTGGTACAGCATTGAACACAGATAACAAAGGAAATTTTGGTTCCAATAAACAAAACGATATCCATGTGTCTCGATTGTAGTCCCTCCTCCTTAAGGGTACTCCGGCTCCTCCTTGTTTGCCTCATTCCCTGCACCTGTTCCCAGTCCACCTTAAAAGCCAGGTGCTGACGTTAATCCGGGCTCTGCACCTGATCTCTGTATCGTGCGAGTCCGGGACCTGGAAGTGCCTGGTCCCGTTAAGGTTTTATTCTCTGTTCCCGCACCCGTTCTGCTGGTTCCAACCCGTTTCTAGTTTTTATCTTGTCTGTTTTTGGATGGACCCCCTGGCTTTGGACTTTGCTTGTGTTTGGATTCCCCCTTTGGATTTCTACTGGATTGTTTGCCCCGGACTCACTCCCCTGAACATCAGCGCACCAAGGACACGCCCCCCCTGTTTTGATCCCCGTTTCCTGCATGGCTTTTTCCCCAGTGTTTCCTCACTATTCCGGATTGTGTCGTCCGCATAGGGTCCGAAAAGAACTGATCGTTACACCATGGTGCCTTCATCGCCACAAGAACTGTTTATGGCCCAAACAATCACTGACCAATACTGTATCTTTGAAACCTGAGGAAGAGGGAGATCTGATCAAGGAAAGGGAGGCGGTCAAGACCTATGGATAGGAAACATTGTTTTCAAATATCTATTCAAGTTAGAATCCTCAGTCAATAATATACTATACAGTTCCATTATTGGTAACAGCTCAAGCACCCCAATAGTTTTTGTCAAATGACAAAGTGATAAAGTTTTTTAGCTGTTCTGTCTTGTCCCATACTCCACAGTAAACTTATTTAACTGGTAGTTAAGTACAGGTATGACTCAATTGATTAATCTTTTCACAATTGAGACAATCATAAGAAATTTACATTTGGTTTAAAAAGGTGTCTGCTCAGGGTGACCACTTCCAAAGATGAACGTAACAGGAGCTATATATTTCAGAAATAGAAAATTGTGCTAATTCAGAAAGCTAGCCCTACAAAATAAACAACCCATGAACCCCAGTAAGTGCACTTATTTCGACTACTGATAATATCAGTTTTTGATCTTTCAATGAGCTTAATGGTGCAGAGGAAGGGAACTGCTTTTTGCAAAAATTAAGATGAAAAAGTAGGGTTTCAATGAAATTTTCTACAAAGGTGAAATCTGCATTTATCAAGATTTTTATAATCGAATGTTAAGCTATTGGAAGTATGTAGTTTCTAGAAAAATAGTGTGTGTAATAACATGTAAAACATGCAATGATAAGTTCTGTTTATAAAAACGAAATATACTTCAGTACCTCATATTCACAAAGATTCTATTATACTTGACATTGAAGCCACTACTTACATTAGAAATACATAAAATATCAAGGACAATGAATGAGTTCTGACACTTATTTACCCTACTTGTATAAATATATTACTATTTAATAATCAAAGTATACATACACTTACATAGAAGCAGCTGCAGTGGTTAAGAAGAGTGAACGTTTTATACTCACAATGGTTTTACCAAAGCATCAGGGCATAGTTGCTCCTTTATTCATAAAAAAGAAGGATGTAGTAACTGTCAATAACAAAAAAAAGTCCAAAACTCCATTGTTTTGAGAGACTCACAGTCTGCCTGATATGAACTAAAACAAATAAAAAGTCATGGTTCGTTCAGGACGATATGGAATTTGCAAATCACAAGAATCACAAGTTGATGGAAAATGCAAGAAAAGAGGACTAAAAATGCAAAACCACAGCTCTACCACGTGGTACTCACTGAAGGCAAGATCCACACTCATAAATGTGTGGTTAAAGTTTCTGACAGGCTCTGTCATTTCATCATTTTCAAATTTTAGTAGTAATACCTTTAAAGAATAAAGAACAAGTAATAGGTTTATTCCATGCTGAAAAGGGAAGAAAGAAAACACAACATTTCGGCTGTGGAGCCTTC